TTTATTTATTTATTTATTTATTTATTTATTTTTATTTGTATAACTTTACAAAATTTTATCCATCGATTGAATGGGACATCTTGTGAGCTTTTAAATGTCAAAAGTTGTAAGCCTGTGATTTGGCATTTTATAGCGGTATCTATACTGTTGGTGAACTGGACCTCCAAAAACGTCGAGATACCCAGACATCTCTTGAGATCCACTGCATTTATGAGTTCGACATATCTTTAACGCCTTAAGTGATATATTATTAGTATTAGTTAAATGGATGAAGCAAAATTTAAATCACGACTGCTTCCTTTAACTGCTGGAGTGATTTAATAAATTGATTATTGTTATATTTTCCGCAAAGAAATCTTTCTATAAAATAAACTGAAAAATATAACTAATGCCTATTGTTCCAGGAGAAAAATGGCACAAAGACGCAACAATTACGTTACTTTCGAAAACGAAGACGATCGAAAAAGAACAACGATAACAGCTTCACTCAGCTTTAGGAGGAGGGGTCGCAATGCGTCGCCCCGCGTTATGAGATCAACTGATCCTCAAGCAAGTGTCACCATAACGCGAAGGCCGGGCGACGCTCCCACTACACGAACGGTTCTCAGAAAAACTAATGGGGAGCTATACGTTCTCCGTGCTGAAACGTCTGGGCAAGGACAAATCAACAGAAGATCTGTTCTGGGAACAATGACCATTGCTGATGCATCCGAAAATGAAAGGTCAAACTCAGTGTGCCCTTGCTGCTGTTTTCTTTAGTTGCGTTACACAATTTTAATAAAAAAATGGAAATAATTGCCTATTTGACCGAAGCCATGAACAGAAGATAAATAAACTTATTAAATGACAGACAATGTCTGATCCCTGAATGTGCCTGATCTTTTTTTTATTTATCCGTAGAAAAATTTGATTTTTTATGTTTTATCTATAACATTATCAGTGGCGTAGCTAGGGTTGGTGTCACCTGGTGTGGTAAGTTTATGGTGTCGGGGACAGATTTTTTCTTGTTAAAATAAGCTCACAGTAAAACAATGACAAGAACAGAAACAAGTTAATTGAAGGTTAGGAGGCAAATGTATTTTAGAACTGTAACATGTATTTAGAACCGCCCGACCACAGCGTATTTGGAAATGGAAAGCTTTATTTCTCAGAATTAAGATAAACATATAGCTTCCTGTCACTTACGAAAGTTACAGAACACTTCGATCGGCATTAAATCATTGTCAAAATGGTGTTTTTTGTTTACCAAACCATAGCGTCACCTATTTCTGACACATCAACCTTGAACTTTTAATAAAGCAAACATTTAGATTGGTTACATGTGTGGAAAATGTACTTGTGGTCGGTTATCCTTTTATGAAATTCGGTTAGACAGAACATCTGTAAATATTCAATTATTCGTTGGGTGTCGACCCTCCCCCCCCACCCGAGATGGCGTCACCCGGTGTGGATGGCCACCCTTAGCTACGCCACTGAACATTATCAAAGCAGACTTTCTTGTAAGTCTACCATTAGCTATGGTTAACTTTTATTATGAGCTATTTGTACATGGTAGTGTAGTTTCGGCCTTGTCAGAATATCACATTCCAGTAAGAGTGACAAGTCGCTAGATAATTAAGGTGCCAGGCAAACGTCTGGGGCTGTGACAATTTTCGGACTGCTGCAGAGGTGTTTTGTCGTGGAATGAAGGCGTGCCATCTTAAGGCATGGGCACACTGGACCATTGCCCTGGGTCTCACGCTTCCAGTGGCATCAAGTGGCCATAATTTTATGAATCATGAAAGGTCTCTAGGCAGCTTTCAAAGTGCTATGGCAAATATGTTTCACACGTTTTTTTCAAACACGTTTTTCAATGACCATAAAAATCCCATTGGGGGTGGGTTGGGGATGGGGGTTGGTGTCGCAGTTTCAAGAAAATTTTATCAATTTTAAAAAATCCAGTGACTTGGACAAAAAAATATAAATTCTTTAAATGAATGCAAAAGTCCTTTTATTTTATTTTCATTCTATTGTCACGAACAACGTTTAACGGATTTTTAAAAAAAAAAACATTCATTAATGCAGTTATGTATATTTTTTGTTCAGTGTAGTATAAACACAACTAGGTCAAGGTAACCTAAACCACTATTATATTTTACTGTTAATCGCCGGTTTAGTGCAAATGATTTATTTTTTTTAACAACTAAATTCAGGTATTTGGCAAGATGCAATGCTACATTTTGAATTTAGCAACATTTCTTCTGGGGAGGGTAAATCTTTTTTCCAAATCATACCAATTCCAAAGAAAAATAAGATAACTTGAAACAACGACATACGTCCCAGTCGCACTTATCTCTATTGTAATGAAATGTTTTGAGAAACTTATTCTCAGACACATTTTGAATGAAGTACAGCAAAAACTTGACTCCCACCAATTTGCTTACAAACCTGCCAGAAGTACAGAGGATGCAATCTTACTATTGTTTACTATACTTTACCATCACCTAGACAGCCCTAAAAATAGGCGAAAACGCTTTTCTTAGACTTTTCCTCAGCATTTAACACTATCCAACCACACCTTATGATAAAGAAACTTTCCTCGTCAGATGTAAATTTAATTATTCAAGCTTGGATACTAAAATTTGTAGCAAATCGCCCACAATCTGTCAAATAACCAC